ACATACACTGTTCCCTTTTTCCCCCTTAGCGTGCTCATACTCACTGACACCCTCCTTCCCTAGGCCTTCCTGTTGCACACAGATATGCACCCACTAACCCCCTTCTCCCCTAGCCATCTTGTGCTTGCACACCAGCACAGCAATGCATCACAGTTTACGACCACATCGCTCAGCAATAGCAATCCTGGTCCCACTGGCCACCATAGCTCAACATCTGCCTGTAGAAGAAACATCTGAACTAAATTGCTGCTTCTGAGAATTCTACTATTTTTATAAATGAAGCAGAGATTCCTTTTTGGAATTCATAGAATTATGGAACTATCCAACTGAAAGATTATCTCAGGGGTTATCTACTTCAGTGAAGTAGATCCAGGAAAACCAAGAAGGGTTCTTCCTTAAAAGCCTTCTCAGATGGAGAACCCACAACCTTCCTAGGTAGACTGTTCCACTCTTGTACAAATCTTACTGTTAGGTAGTTTTGCTTATGTCTAAGTTAAATCTAGGTAGCTGCAGCTTATATTCATTATTTTTTACCTTAGTATCTATGGAGTGGATAATAGTTTGTGACCATCTTCCTTGCTGGAATTGGGTATGTAACGAAGAGAAGGAAAAGGGAGGACATGATAGCAGTGTTCCAATATCTCAGGGGCTGCTACAAAGAGGAGGAAGTCAAGCTATTTTCCAAAGCACCTGAAGGCAGGACAAGAAGCAACGGGTGGAAACTAATCAAGGAGAGAAGCAACCTAGAACTAAGGAGAAATTTCCTGACAGTTAGAACAATTAACCAGTGGAACAACCGGCCTCCAGAAGTGGTGAATGCTCCAACACTGGAAGTTTTTAAGAAGAGACTGGACATCCATCTGTCCAAAATGGTATAGGGTTTCCTCCCTGAGCAGGGGGTTGGATTAGATGACCTCCAAGGTCCCTTCCAACTTTATTATTATTATGAGTCATGGCAAATATCAACTGAACTTTTAGCAATTTCCAACATCTCTTTTGTCTCATAAATGTGTCGTTTTGTGACTTTGAAAGAGATCCTAGAATTATCTCTAAGACATTATATAGTACTTTAGGGCTGCTGATTTGGCAGTTGTTTCCATCTTGGTTGATGAGTCATAAAGAGACAGTGAAAGCAGAATTGTGGATTTGTAGATGATAGTCATGTCTGATTTTGAGTACTCTGAAATGCCCTTTCAATTTAGCTACTTACTTCTGTTCCTTGTCTTCTCTCTTCTTAAAACCATCTACTCTTCCAAGAGCATCTCCTTTTTCTGTTCATTCTTCTGCATTCTTTAGAACTTTTCTCCTTCTAATTAGATTAGGAAAGATTCTGGCCTGAAACCCTGGAGGGTCAGTTGAAGCAGAGGATGCCAAGGATGATTCAACCATGGTCTGCTTTAGAAGCTTCCTAGGACTGGACACACCACACTGTAGCAAATCTGTACACAATGCTTTATTGCAGCACACACCTTCCCAACAACAGGCTATTATTCTGGATCCTAAATTCATAGGGCTGGAAGGGAACTTGGAGGTCTTCTAATCCAATCTCTTGTCCAAGGCACAGCTCTACCCTGTTGCCATGTAAATACATCTTTAATACACAGTCCTTTATGCTCAGTCTTTTAATATTCTATTCAAACAAAAGTCTCAAATTTTATAAAATAGCATGCAACCTTTGCCTTTTTTTCAAAAATTCTTGTACTTGTTAGGATAATGTGCCGTCTCAGTGTGTTTGTTCCTTTTCTAGTTGCTATCAAGCTCCCACAAAGCTCCAGGCTGGACTCCCACCAGGATATGCTGCTAACCATAGCTTGTTGAATGATAGTCCTGTTGCCTACTTGTAATAGCTGTCAATCTCCAGACATTGCTTCCATCCCTCCCATCTGCATGTCCTTGGCTTATTACTTTTTCTCCTCCACATCCACTCTGTGTTAATGTTTGCTTTTGTAAGCTATGAACCGAGGTGGGATGTGGCTGCCTCTGCAAATCAGCCTATACTTGAAAATGCCAGATGTGACTCAATTATTACAGGCAGCTGGAACACCAGCTTGGGTGCTTGTGAGTAGAATTGTGAGTGAATGAATGTATGAGGGAAACGGGAGTGGGAAGCACTTTTACCTAGCTAAAGCTACATATCCCAAGTGCAGAGAGCAATCCCAACTTCACTCCTTCATATCAATCCACAGCAGAACCAAGGTTGGACTAACAGCAGCACCATTTTTGTCACCCAACAGGCATTTATGTCATCGGCTTCAGCTATCCTGTAGTGCCCAAAGGAAAAGCCCGTATCCGAGTTCAGATCTCAGCTGTTCACAGTGAAGAGGATATTGATCGATGTGTGGAGGCCTTTATTGAAGTGGGGCGTAAACATGGAGCCTTGCCTTAAATGGCTGCAGGAAGTGAACTGTGCCTTTCTACAAATGGTGCTATTTTGCTGTCAGATAGCCCTTTAGTTTTGCCAAAGATAAGGATTGTGGAAATTATAGTTCCAAATCCCACAGTTTGCCTGCTCCTTTTATATGGATCACTTTGCAATAGTTCCAATGATGCAATGTTAATTGAAGGTTTATGTTTTTTTAAGAACTACAGTCCAATACTATGCCAGAAGATTAATAATGATTGTCTCTCCCATCGTCAAAGGCAACCAGAACCTATAAAACAAGGGAAATGGTTGCATAAAATACTCCATTCTGATTTGGGTCTTATGATGAGGCCATTGTGGCTCCATTTTACCTCTTTGTTGCAGAACTCAAGTTGGAGGAAGGAGAGGGAAAAATGACTTTTTTTCTTCTCATCCTTGCACAAATTTCTCTTTATGGAAGTAGTTTCTTCAGATTGATCACTAGAGGGCATATTTGTAACTCTGGCCTCAGGGACCCCAAGGCAGCAGAACATACATACATTGCAGTAGTTTATTGCTTTTCATTATGAAATTCCATCATTGTGATATATTCATTACCCTTACAATGTACCAAAATATTAACAAATAATTACTGGTTCTCTGTGTTTTAATAGTCTTCTTTGTATAAAAAAAGAATTAGAAGTGGGAAGAGGGGGTGGGGAATAGGATCTGTTCTAAATGGGGCAAAGGAGTCAGAGTACAAGCATATTTGTAATGGGGTAAAGCCAAATTTGATTTTGCTGCTCGGTCATGTACATGAGATTACTATATCTGGCCTGTAAAAATCTGGACAGCACAAAATGGCAGCAAAGAAATATAGGGCAACAGTCTAGTGATTCTATATTTGTGTAGCCTGCATATGAAAGTTGTACTAGTATAATCCATTGTTAAAATTAAGAAAGCAGTCGGATCTGTAAAATCAGACTAGCATAACTATAAGATATAATGTATATCTTTATAAGATATAAAAATATATCTTAAAGCATTGTCATTTCTCTTTTTTAAAAGAGCAGTATTGACTGCTCATTAAATTAGCATAAACCGAATCTTTTTCTGTCTGAGGTGAAAATAATATCTCTGCACATCTCGCACTACATACAAGGATGGTGGCAATCAGTGAGCTAGTTGTAATGGCTAGAAACATACATTCTGTGCTATCAGTGAATTACATGAGGTACCTTTGCGGAACATATGGAAAAATTGGACATATGCACCTTTCCTATTTCTCTCTAATCTCCTGCAATAATGATTCATCTTACTCAAGACATTTTGCAGCGATACCTCTTGGACTGTGTTGTCCTGAGCAACAGCAAACTGAATAGGAAGAGACAAGTATCAAAGTGTTTTTCCTTAATCCTCTTCATTGCAGCTTTCCAGGTTATAGTGTGCTTGCTGAGTGGGGGAGGACAAGGGTAGAGGAAATGAACACTTTAAAAAGATGACAAAGTAGGATATTCACATACATTTTGCCAACGTCCATAGGATATAATTGCAAAAATAGAATTTGTATGTATTTCTTTGAAGCAGTCTTGACTTCTGGCAACTGACTGACCTACTTCCTGCAGTTTTCCTGATAAAATTTCAGAAATGGTTTGTCATTGCCTGCTTCCTAGGGCAGAGAGAAACTGACTGGCTCATGCTCACTCAGCTGGCTTGTGCCTAAGGCAGAACTAGAATTAATGGTCTCCTGGTTTCTAGCCTGATGCCTTTAATCTCTATATCAAACTTGCTCCTAGAATGGATTATTAACCTATAAGTAGATTTCACGATAAGAAAAATAACTGTAATAATATGATCTGTTGTGCCTGTTTGTCCTGTTATCTCAATTGCTGTAAAACCTCTGATCTTCTATGCTCTCCTCTTACCATCTTATGTTATGATAGCCTTTGACTCAACAAGCCTTTAGGCAATTGGCAATTATAAAACAGGAACATCTCTTGAAAGAGCCACTCAGCTTCAGGAATTAGCAATAGACCTAGCAGGAATTCCCATCTCACCCTAGACACTAATATTCTGGAATTTTTATGTTCTCAAATACTGAGACATTTTTTAGACAAGGAAGGAAGGTCTAAAGCAGCAGTTCTCAACCTGTGGGTCGCGACCCTTTTGGGGGTCGCACGAGCCTTTCACAGGGGTCGCCTAAGACCATCGGAAAACACATATTTCCGATGGTCTTAGGCAGGGCTTGTCAATTGCCTTCTCTCCCTCCCCCCCCCTCCGCTCCACCTCACTTGTTTGTGGAAAATATGCTGCTTGGCGGCAGTCTGCACGAACTCTACCAAATGTGCCCTGCAGGGGGCGTATGAAGAGCGCAGGCGCAGAGCAAGGCCCCGCCCTCCCCAGAGACTCATTGTGCAGCAACCGGATTGACTTCTTCTCATGCACGCAGGTCAGCGAAGGGGAGGCCGCTGCCACACCCAACTCTTGCCCCCGTCAGCTGGCGACCCCAGAACTTGCGCTTGTCAGCCGAGAGGGCTGGCAAGGGCCGCTGGTCTCCTTTGCCACCACCCGTCCTCGACTCCTCCTCTTCCTATACTTTCCCATTTTTCCTCTTTTTTGGGGGGGGTCAAGTTTTTGATACCCCTCCGCCAGCTGGAGCGGGGGTTGGGGGGTCACCACAACATGAGGAACTCTATTAAAGGGTCGTGACATTAGGAAGGTTGAGAACCACTGGTCTAAAGTAAAATTCTCAAAGAATTTGGAGGTATTCTGTCTTATGAGTTCAGAATTGTATTGCAATGTTAGATTTCTAATGCATTTGTAAGAAAAGATTTAGGAGGAAATGCATTTTGGCAGATCTGTTGCCTTATGACGTCAATACTGATTCCTGATAAGGTCCTTATTGTCTAATTTGTCATTAAATCAAGCTGAATAAGGAGTTCTTCTGGCTAGGGCTTTTCCTCAAAGCAGTGTTAATGTGTTTTTTTCTGGCAAGGAGATGGCACAAAAATATGCTGGCATACCTCATGCTGCCCTCACTGCTGAATCAAATTCTGCCTTAGCAGTGAGGACCCTGATATCATGTACTGGCAGAAAAAAACAGCCATCAGTCATTCTTTCAAAGAAATGATACTGTTCATCTTTACAAGGCAAAAGCCAAGGAATTCCCACCCTGCACAGATCAAACACTGCACAACATCTGTTTAAATTTGATACTACATTGTCCTTGTTTTGAGTCCTGATGTCATGTACATTGAGTAATATCCTAGGTCAAAACCACAGAACAGAACAGAACTTTTTTTTTTTTTTACTTTTTAATGGAGCCCACAATGGAAAATGTCAAGGTTTGGGTCCATGTATATTATATATGAGGGTTACTACATTATGTATAACCAAGACTACAATCCTCTATAGTAATGTAGTGATAATATGATGAGATTAGTTAACCCAAATTCTAATTATGGCCTTTTATTTCCTTATTCCCCTTTATTTTTTCACATTAACCTCACGCATCACCTCCAGTTAAAAAAGAAATGTTATTACTAAATTTCCAGAGTTCCAAAACTCTTGATTAAAACATATTTAGTTTCTGCTAATATTTCATCATTGCACATTTGAGAAAGATGCTGTTGTTTCTATTTTGCATTTGGCTAGCATTCCTTGGATATGACAAAGAACTTTAATACCTGTTTTTTTTTTGTTTTTATATAGCTGTGAAGATTCCTCCAGGCACAGGTTTTCAGATGGTTCATGAAATACTTCTCTCATTTTCATTCCAATTATTGTTCAAATGCCATCTTGAGGACCAGCTTTCATCTAATTGAGAAATGACAACAAAATCCTCACAAAGTCCAAATGCTGCAGTATAAACTTCACTTTATCCATATCACGAGCAGGCACATTTACATGCAGTTACAACAGGATAAGGAATTTGTCTCCAAACACATTCCTTACGAGACTTTCTAGAATTCAGAGCCTGGGTTCCATTTATCCAACAATGCCATGCCAGGAGTTTGATGTTGGTAATTTGGGCTGGCTGGCAAATCATGCCTGGAGGCCAAGCACATCCAGCTTGCATCAGGTCACAGTATGTATGGCGTATCCAGCGTGGCCAGAAGACGGATCCCATGTCTACCCAGGAAGAAGTTAAAGAACAGGTTGCACTATCCACTAGCCATCCACATAGATGATAAATGAAGGACTGGCTCAAATTACGAGTGATCCCATCCTCAAAAGGCAGCAATGGCAGCAACTTGGGAAGCTCTAATCTGCTTGTCTCCTGCAGGAGCTTCTTCCTAAATCGGGCTGTTTGTTTAGTCAGCTCTCGGTTCTGTGTGCTCAGTTCTTTAGTGCTTGGGTTTCGACCTCGGGGGTCCTCAGGAGACATCCAGAAAGGTTCATAGGAAGATCCCAGAAGTTTCACCAGCTTGGAAGTACGCAAATGCTTTGGCTTGGGCACAGAGTAGTGATAGTCCTCAGGAGAGAGGGAGAGGCTGTAAGGCCTTGCTTGAGTCTGCAGCTTACTCCAAGTAAGATGTATGTCAGGATTGGGCTGTTCCAATGCCCTGATGTTATTCGATGGTCGGGGAACCCCACTTAAGGAAAAGCCTCCTTTTTGAGAGACAAAAATTGCTCCAGTGTAGTGGAACCCCTGGCTCCATTGCTCCAGGAGCAGCATACAGGCCAACCATGCTTTAACATCCATGTTTCTTCAAGACTTGAATGTGTCTCAATTGCTGCAAGCTAACTCTATGAGGCTTTCTTTCTCTCCACCTCTTTTATTATCCAGCCTTTGACCCAGAGTTTAGCAGCTCCCCTCTCCCCTACTTGCAGGCTTTGATAACAAACAGTGCTGTGGCTCCCATTGACATAAACGGGGGGAGGGATAGCCCTTGTTTAACCCATTTGGACATTTTTTTTACTAACCTAGGGTTTTAATGATATGATATCATCAGCATTAATGGTTCAACAACTCTACGTTCAACAATTCTTTTAAAAATGCTAGGGCTTGGATTCACCATCATTGTCAGATTAAGATTTAGTTCTGGATTTTCAGACTATATCAGCATTCCCCAACTTAATGCCCTCCAGATGGGTCAGATCACAAATCCATCATTCCTGGCTATATCAGATTTTCACTAACTCCCTCCCCCCATGGTAACCATTAATTTGGTATGCATGCAAATGATCTCAAATGATTAATTGTAACAGTAAAACAGTTTCTGGATTATTGCATACCAAGATTTAGTTTGTTTGATTGCTTGCATTGCATTTGGATAATTGCATGTTCTGCAGAACAGCTGTGGTTCTGGAATTGGTGAGTTTTTTGGAAACTGAACATAGACCTTGCAACTATTCTAAAATTTGATTCCATCTCCAGCAATGAGATAAAAAACTGGGAATGGTTCTTTTTATCTCTATGCCTTTACTAGAAATCCTCCAATAAGACAAACATTCAATTACTGGGCATAATACATGACACATGCCTCATCTTCTCTGGAAAATTGAAAATACTTCAGTTAAAATCCTATCTGAAATTTCACTCCAGAATTCTTTGTAAAGGAACCTGGGACCCATTCTGACATTAGAATTAAGCAGTAGAACATGTTGAGGAATCATGTTCTGTTGCATAGATGATAAGTCAGGACAGAGAAAACTCATAATAAACTATTTGTTTAGTCAGGAAATAGATCAGTCATAAGAAAAATAGATTATTACATCAGAACAATAACCATGTGGTGCAAAGGGAAGAGATAATTCAAACATATTCTAGCATTAACTCTAGAAAACAGAGAGTTTTTAAACTAAAAAGTTCACTGTTATACCCAGATGTCAGATGTTACAACTAGTCCCTATTAACTTGAGTTATTTCCTCATAAAAAGTGCTATATCTTAAAACTCCTATACTGACAAGACATCCTGTTTTACAGCTGGAATATCTTTATGCATCTGAATTTAAACTTGCCTGTATTTTGGGGGCCTGAACAATGTTATTCATATTCTCCAAGGCAACTCTGGCAGTTACACAGACACAAACACAAAACAGCTGCTTCTAAGGAATTCATATCTCCCTCCCAATTCGATATTTTTTTTAAAAAAACAGGTGTTGTTTTCAAGACACGTGATTGAGAAAACTAAATTTACTAAGATATTCTAAACACTATTTTTACCATTTTAAATTATATTCAGTGGCTGCTCCATTCAGTTTTTCTGATGGAGTTCATGATAACTTGTATCTCAGCACCACACTATCTAAGTATGCCCAATGTGGTACCTTGTGATGCCAGGTGCTGATGGACACCTTCCATGTTTTTTAATTGTTATTTGTATTTAATACAAGAATAATAAAAGACAAAAAACCCTTTGAAATATAAAATGTTCTCTTTCTAATACGATTGAATTTTAAAACAAATTAAACCTTGATCATGTACAGTAAATTACTATCTTTCCCTTCCACAGATAGTCAGTTCAAAAATTGGGAGGGCACACATACCGGTATTTTTTCTAAAAGCAAAATAATAATTTGAACAACAAGAGATATAAAGTTCTTCATAAATACAGACATCTTAACTCTCTTCCTAAAACCTGGTTCACGTTCACATTACTAAGTGAAAATCTGCAGAGTCTCTTGGTCCTGATGCAAGGACAATCCATTAAAGGTTCCAGAAGACTGCCTGGATGCCACTGCCTGTATTTTATCATCCATTTACAGTTGAGTCAACCAAGGATATTCTTAGGTGTGACTGTTTGAAAGGATTTTTTTCTCTCTTATTCCATCTCCAGATGCTGCATGTTGGCCAGGTAGAATGCATTATTACTCATGGAGGAGATAGACTGAAATTATATATTCTGCATCAATTTGTGGCTCCAACAGGTCCTGCTGGTTCTCTGTGGGCCTGCCCTCTCCTTTTGGCCCCTGACTTGTTCTCTTGCCCCTCCGTCCTCTTTTCAGTGTAAGAAAGACTGGAGCTTCCTTCTGCAGGCTTTGTATTTTTTCCCCCAACAAAACTTTATTAAATATTAAAAACGTATAAAATCCAAAGGAGAAAGACAAAAGTTAGAACGAGGAAAGGAGTGAGCAGGGAATAACACAAAATTGGGGGAAGCAGACAAGTGATAAAAAAAGCTATAAAACAGATTGACTTTCAACTTTTTTCTGTACAGTTATACAAGCATGAAATACAATGATCCTTTGAACTGGAACAAACCATAGCACTCAGTACTTGTATAGTCATTAGCGGTTCTAGTCATCTAATTCCAAGGTTAAAATTTATTTTCTTTTAGTGTCAAGCAAAAAGCCCAAAAATGGTTTCCAAGTAAAAACAAGTCTTTTTATATAAAGACTTTTCTTTATTCCAGCAGTCATTTTCCCCATCTCTGCCAAATCTATTCACATTCTTCTATTGTTGATATTTGTGAGTCCTTCCATGTCTGCACATAAAGAAGCCTTGCTGCTGTTATCATGTATAAGAACAGAGGGTTATTTTTTTTAATAGGCTGATCAGCAGTTGACTGTCAGGGTTAGAGAGTGTGAAGCCTTGATGTAGACTAGCCTGTCCTTGGCTTAATGTAGGCGAACAGAAGTGTGATTGAAAGGGCCCTGCTCTTGTTGGAGCAAAACTACATAATGGGCAAGGAGAGACAGGAACACTTTATTTACAATGCCTACTGCCAAGGCCATGTATCTACAGATGTACTCATTGCCATGGCAACAAAACATTTGCATTCAGGAAGAAGTTATCTCCCTTTTTTCTCTGTTTAATGTTTAACTATTATTTCCAGGAGAAACTATTCAACATGAAAAAATAATTATAAGTAATATTATGTGGTCCTTTATATAAAGTCCATGAGATAGCCATAGTTCAGTGCAGATGGCCTTCAAAGTCCCCTTCCAAAGTATCAGTTCAATTTCAATTCAACAGGTTTTCTATCCTTTTTACCCCATCTGCTTCCTACTGCTTCCTACTAACAGCATCAAGACTCTTCAAATAATCCTGTCTCTTTAGATTAAATTTGCCGGTGCCATTTTTTGCAAACCATCTAAATCAGGGGTGGGGAACAATGGCCCCTTTGCGATCTGTGGACTTTGACTCCCAAAATTCCTGAGCCAGAATTCTGGGAGTCAAAGTCCATATGTCATAAGAAGGCCATCATTCCCTGTCCCTGATCTAAATCAATGTTTTTTTCCCCCAAATTTGGCAACTTTAAGTTGTATGGACTAATATCCAGAATTCCCCAGTAAGCATGCTGCCTAAATCAAAAGTAATTCTTTTTTCTGATTCTCACGAAGTTCTAACTTCAGCAAGATCTATTGAGATGAAGAAAGGCAAGGATTTCAATAAGTGAACTATTTCCAATTTATCAACAAAATATCTTAATGAGAAATTTTTCTGGTTGTCTTGTTTACAGCATTTGTAAGGAGAGATTAAGAGAGTGAGACTGAGGAAAGTAGCATTGCAGCGTTGGGATGCAACGCTTTTCTATGTACATCAAAATGTTACACATATGTCCCAAATAGGTGGAGCTTGAGGTGTGCTGCTGTGACATCACTTAAAAAGCAGCAGGATCTTGAAGATTCCATAAATAAGAAAGTGAATCTCTTAATTGATAAAGATAATTTTTATACCTAGTTGTTTACATAATAGTCATCTAAATCTACCAGTCTGGGAATCAATTCTTATTGATCTTAATGTGGCCAAAATGGCACCATCTACCGAGAGAAGCAGATGGTTATTTTATTAGATTTATTTGCTGCCCACCTCTTTTCAAAGTGACTCTGGCCAGCCTACAGTATTAAAAGCATTAAAATCATAAAAAATAAATATTTCTAAAAATATCAGCTTGAAGGAGTGAGAGTTATGCATAAATAAATATTTCCAAGTAAAGAAACCTCAGCATTATAGAATCATCAAGTCCAACCTCTTGCTTAATTCAAGAATCCAAATTAAAGTTTTCTGGATGAGTGTCTACCTAGTCTCCATTTAAACACACAATTCTGTGTGTAACTGGTTTTAATATACATGGAAGAGGGTAAGAAGCAGTCCAGTGAGAACAAAGTCTGATAGAGGGCAGAAGTTGCAGACTAATTTGGGGATGAGAGAACAAAAGCATTAGCTAAAGAGGAAAAAAAGTAATCCTAAAGAAAATTAATGGCTTCTTACTGGCATCGATAGCTGATAATTGGCTGTCAAGACAATGTTCTTTAGATATTAGCTCATATTTGAATTCTGGATCTTCTATTATATTTTGTATTAATTATGTTTTGCTCATACAAATTTGCAGAAAATGTTACCTACTATAAGTGACATTATTATGACATAAAACCCTCACAGGTTTTCAAACTCACTAGAGAGTCAAAATGTTTATTTGCTAGTGCTAGATTTTGCTCGGACTGATTAATATAAATATTAAGGTTAAGGTTATCTGTCTGTGCAATATAATTCAATCTAAAAGCAATAGCTGGCTCATCATTATTTTAAATGACATAACACTAACTAGATCTAAACCCACACCAACAGCTTTATTTTTATTTAATATTGGATAAATATTTAATATTTGCTTAATGTGTTTGTTTTGAAGAATTCTGCTATATGGTTTCATACAAAGACACTATATAACATTATGTAGTACATGAAATTTCTCTCATTGGCTGCTTTTCAGACCTTCTGAGACAGCCTGAATGTTTTGATATATGTATGTTTAGAGCAGTGGTTCTCAACCTGTGGGTCGGGACCCCATTTGGGGTCGAACGACCATTTCATGGGGGTCACCAAACAAGGCTGTCCGCCATTTTTCCCTCTTTTCTTCAGCCACGCCCCTGGCCCCCGGTGATGTATAAGTGGTTGGGGGTCACCACAACATGGGGAACTGTATTATGGGGTCGCGGCATTAGAAAGGTTGAGAACCACTGGTTTAGAGGCATCACATTCAATTGTGTTGCCTTTTTATTCCAAAATGGCTACTTTGACATCTGTAATGGAATGGCCCAGGAAGTTAAAAAGCTCTGCTATTACTTTGACCTTGTTTTGAGTCCTGATGTCAAATTTGTGCCCATTAATTCTTTTGTGTGCAATGTGTCATATTAGCCTATACAGAATCCAGATGGGCATTGAAGGGCATATATTGCATTAAAAGAAGAAAGTGTGGACGCATCTCTACCCCAATAAGTACCAGACATGTTCTGAATTTTTGGCTATCACAGCCTTATGAGGCTCTCCTTCTGCCATGTTCTTTCACAGTGTGATCCTAGCTAAGATTGAGTCAATTGGGATAAGATATGATTCCCTAGCAATCATTACAGAAAACATATTCCATTTGGATTTGCGCTCAACCAGATCTTCCTCCATAAGCCAGTCAAATGTTCAGCTAAGAAATCTTAGTACAACAAACCATCAACTCTAGTTTACATCCAATAATAATTAGGCTCTCACAATGTGCTATGCCAAACACTGTGTCTTAACAAAATGTGTGCATCCTGTTAGTTCTGTGAAAAGAAAGGAAATCTAGAAAAAAAATGTTTCCTTCATTGGAGTTAGGATACTGGGATGAGATATAAATCAGCATTTGTGGGGGACATCCCACTGCTATTACCAGTACTGTATTATATTTATTTTATATCATTTATGTCAGAACTACACAATTATGAAAATAAAATCAAATAAATAAACAGGACCAATCAAGACATGGTATAAATATGCATGTTTGAAATAACGTTTTCAAGCACCATCATGAACAAATTTCTCTCTAGAAACAACTGTAAATCTAATTATAACCACAAGAACACAGCTTTAGTAGAAATCAGAAGTAGAGGAAAATTATTTTATGATCTGACAAATCTATTTTGTGCTGCATAATATATGACAGGATGTTTTCTTGGAATCTTGCAGAAATAGGACAATAAAGCAAGTATTGAGAAGATCCTCAACCATATTTGTTCAGTACTGTATGGATAAAGGCATGAATTATAGAGAATAATTCAAAACTTGCCTTCAGGCACTGGCAATGTTATCAGCCACATTCATAACTGATCCAAAGCCCTTCTTGTTGAAAAATTCCAAATTCATACAGAGTTCTATAACAATAGGAAGAAAAGCAAAGTCATGCCCTATTACTTGCTAAAGCAGAATTTTAACAGAATAACATAAGGAACTTTGGAGATCTTCTAGTCCAAAATTCAAAATCCTATACCATTTCAGATAAGTGGTTGTCCAATCACTTCTTTAAAACCTCCAGATTTTGCTCCAGTTGTGAAGCACGCACAACTTTTGAAGATAACCCATTCCATTGATTAATTGTTCAGTCAGGAAATTTCTCCTTATTTCTAGGTTTGTTCTCTCCTTGATCAGTTTCCATCCATTGCTTCTTGTCCTGCCCTCAGGCACTTTGGAGAATAGGTTGGCCCTTCTTCTTTGTGGCAGCACCTCAAATATTGGAACACTGCTATTATGTCAGCTCTAGTCTTTCTTTTCATTAAACTAGACATGCCCAATTCCTGCAAACGTTCTTCATGTTTTAGCTTCTAGTTCCCTAATCATCTTTGTTGCTTTCCTCTAATCTAATTTGACTGCATACACAAACATGGATCTTTATTATTTTTATGATAAACATGGATCTTAAACATGGATCATTTCCTCTACAGCAGAAGGGGAGAGATGGGGAGAATCCTCACTGGAGAGCTCCTAAACTAGGAACTGCTGATGGGTAGATCTTGCCCATGTGATGTATTAGTCTATATTTGTTCCAAAAAGCAATTTGGCTATTATAGAAGGAGGTGAAGTGTCAGAGCTTGAGTCAGTAATTTTAAAAATATGTCTGTATGTGTTGCTATTCTTATAGAATTTATCCCAGTCTACCTGGAGTAGTACCATCAACATATAAATCTTATGTTTTATTGAGATGTAAAATTCTCTTGGAGCTCAGTCATAAAGCTCTTTGCCTTTATTAGTGCTTTTTATACTTTACATCTAAAAATATACTCTAGAATTAACTGCAAATTTACTTTATTTAGAACATATTTTATTCTATTCTTTCACAATGGAACAAAATTGTCATCTTCTTTATTTTTCCAACAATCCAGTAAGGTAGGCTGTGTATATGCCACACAGCTAAGGTTCAGCTCAAGGGGGTTCTTTGAATTAACTCCACCATGTTTGTTTTACACACACCTACAGACCCCAGAGCCTATTTTCCAAACAAAAAGATACAGGAAATACACATAGACAACAATTGTCTAAGCTTACATCCATTTTTATTAACCTACCCATTACCCTTTCTATTGCCTGATGCCAAACTGTAGTATTTATAACATTTTGAGTATTATGGTGTTCTTTGTGGCATGAAAATAATTTAATCTAAATGTAGAAATGATTTATATGCCACAGATTTGCAGTATGATCTTGCTTGATCCAAGGACAGGCTTTAAAATGGTATTGTTATTGAATTATTTATTTTAAAATGTGCAAACTGTTCTTTTGTATAAATCCTAAACTGTCTTTATTTATAGGACTGATATGGGAACAAAAGAGTTGAAGAATGTCCTATGTTTTACAAAGGAAAAATGACACTTTGATGAAACTGTCAGTTTAATCCCAGGCAGATGAAAATAATGGCACTAGTTAAACAGTGACAGGAAACCACCTAATGATAGTAGCTCATAATTATAATAACAGTTTTCTGGACATAAACATTATGTACTGGGATCTTTGAGGCATTGAGGAGGCAAAGGTGAAAATAACAACACGTTTATTGATTAACACAGAAGCGGCTCTAACAGCCGCTTAACTTCTATTTATACGGCCTGCCGATAGGCAGCAGCCAATGGAATTAAAGCAGTTATTCCCGCCCAAAACACAAACTTACAATTCTGCAGACAGGCAATCTGGAATTTAAACGGACACAGCAGTTACTTATTTATAACTGATTCCAAGTAATTTACATCAAAACATAACATAAACCATGATCTCAAATACAGTATGTGCAGGTTTCAGTTAAATAAAGAATGTGTTTCACTCTACCTCTTGCAACTGAATGGACTTCAGAGTAATAATGTTTGGCTGACTCAAGCCTAACCATCCGCAGAATATTAAATGGATAATTATTATTTTGTCTAAGAGTTACTAGCATTTTTTCTTAGTATAATTCATCTGCTCTGGAGACTTTTATGCCAACCTGCAAACTGCAATTTTAGATCATTATGAAAGTAATATTTTTTCACCTTTGTTCTGTTATTTGATGTGTGATCATCCAGCATATAAAGTGTGCATTCTACCATTTATATAAATAAACTGAAGCATGTTACCAGATTCTGAAATTGTTTTTTCATATACAAGGCTTCTATAATTCCAAAGGAAACTAATCACTGGAATGAAACCTAAATATAAGGCAAATTCTGCCTGTGTAATTAATCTGAAAAAGCTTTTTTGGGGGGGGGGGTTATGCTAAAGCATAGTAAGAGGATGGTTCTTTTGACCCTAGGGAAAGGAAAAGAAAATATATTCTGGAAATCTATGCCGGCTGATATATAACATTAGTTGGTTATGGTCTGGGGTGTCATTGTTTCCATGGTCATTCAGAAGACACTACTTAGCTGCAGTTGCAAATATAGTATTGAGTGGGGAAAATACGCTCATCTGTCATTGATGGGAGCAATATACAAGATGGATGGATAGGTAGATGAGAGAGAGAGAGAGAGAGAGAGAGAGAGAGAGAGAGAGAGAGAGAGAGATTACATTGGATAAACAGTGCTGGCTCCTGTAGGGTTAACACAAAGGCACAGCAAAAACAGGAGGAGGAGAGCAAAGACAGATTATAGGATGAGAAGAAAGAAGAAAGCAGAGAAAGGGAAGAGTTGAAGAGATGTGCTGAAAGTAGATTACAGGGTGGGGGGTGAATCACAGGCCAAATCTGGTCATCACAACTTCAGAAATTCTGCTCAGCCTTTTTTTCGGGCTCTGGAGTAAAGGGAATGAGGGCTTCTTCATGTTGCTAGTTACTGCTTCAAGTCCAGGAGGAGCCCATCTCTTGTCTAATAAAAGTGAGTAAGTGCAGCTTACAAGGAGGAAGATATCTGGTTACAGGGTGACTTTCCAACAGTTCTACAGGTTACACAGAAACAGAAGGAGGGAGTAAATGTTCCTGGAGTGGCCAGATTCAAGACAAGCTCTGCCTACTTTTAGTGGGGAGAATTTCAGCAGGTGTGTTTTCTTCCGTGACAGTTTTATGTTCAGGCAAGGCAAAGAAGAAATAACTCTTATTTGAGGCAGAAAAAGATGCAGAGAGCTGAATACCATCTCCAAATAGGGCATGTGGCAGTGGACAATAACTGGATGGGCGGAAGCTCAGAACCAGTCCAGCTGGACGGCAACAGAAAAATAAAACTGCATATTTCAATACCTGTGTTGTCAAAGGAATGAGTAGAGGATAGCAATTCAGTGTTTTTTGAAGGCTGTTTTCTTTAGGTAAGTGGCTCATGGCTATGATATGTCAGCATTTGTTTCTGCTTTATTAACTTTTCATGGTACTGTTCTCTGTTAGTAATATAACACTTTTATCTTTGATAATTTTCTTTCTTCGAATTTGTAATTTTTGTTTGATGAATAAAATAAATAATAATTTTAATAATAATAATAATTTTTGTTTGCTGAATACTATGAAATAAATAATAATATATTTGATATATCTTTCTACCAAGGATAATGCTGCAGAGAGTACCAGCTCTTTGTGTGAACCTCAAAGCGCTCCAGAGGCGAGTAGTAGAAAGAGAGCATTTCGAGAGGCTTTATGATTCTGCAATAAGGCAGAAAATGTCACTCAGAAAATTTTCTGACATTCAGGAAAGCTCATTATGTTAACTAACCTATGTTCTTTCCTCAGTGGCTCTCAGCAATTTTTCTCGGTGGCTCTGAACAAACCCTCATTTTATATTTGCATTGCTAGCATAATGGACAATATCGTTTAAAAAGTCATGTGGAACTTATTTTAAATACTAATCATACACAAGTGAAGGCGAATATACGTGTCCTAGGATAGTATTTCAGGATCCAATCTGGGTTGGTCACTGGGACCAAGGTTTTAGTCTTCCAAGCTTTTGGACTCGTGCTGGAGCCCCCATCCTCAGGGAACATCTCTCTAGAAGAGTCCAAAAGCTTGGAAGACCAAACCTCTGTTCCCGGTGACCGACCCAGATTGGATCCTGCAATAATCATACAAATTATGTTCTTTCCCATTAATCTTACTTTAGAATGTATTATTATCACACAGATTTAAAAAATGAAAAGATTTAATCAAACCTGGTGTAATATTTTTTCACTACTGGGATTTAGTAACTTGTAGTCTCCAGGCTTTTGTCCCTGGCAGAATTTATTTCTATTGGTGAAATGAACATAGACAGCTGTGGGATTATACTCATAATAGCTTCATTGAGGGTCTGTGTTGGTCCCTTGTTTAAGGCACCAAGGTTGTCTCTTTTTTTACAACCAGTTTTTGGAAGAGTACATACTGTAAACAAGCTACGTGTGGCATGATCAGGAGCTGCAAAATGTCACTATTGCTTATTCAGAATTATTCACTTAACATGAACACTGGAAAGGAAGGTGCAGAAATATAAAAATAAAGACTGCCAAAAAAACACAAAAACCCTCAGGTGTGTGTATCAGAAACAAACCTAAAGGCTGAACTCAGTTAAATCAAGTAAAAACTAGAGATAGACTAGTTTTATTCAATGATTTCACATGCTCAGCTCCAGTATGAATTGTTCTGAAAAAGCTACAAAATCTATTTGTACAGGAGGACCAAAGAATGTGAGTAGACATTAAGTGTTCTTTGCAGATACCTGTTATTTCCTAAAATCATATACTGAGTTCATTCATTATATTAAGCCATAATGTTATTCATTGATTTTGGTTTCATATGATGTATGAACCTAAGGTCATATGTGAATCAAATTATTATGACTAAACTTTTTTTCATCCATACATTATGTGCCAGGGCTCCTATAATTCCTATGACTGAGAGGAATCCAAGGTTCAGTTTTTCATAGGAATATCCTTTGACATGCCTTTATGTAAAATACAGGACCTGCCTCAAAACACGGCAATTTGTATAAGATCACAAAGAAAAAGAAAGATTTAACAGCTATGGGGAAAATAGCTGGGTATAGGAGGGAAGCCAGAGGTTTTTTTACCTTGACCTTCCTAAAAAGAAAGAAGTTTTGAACTTGCACCCTGAGTAATGGAGAAGAAAGAGCTTTATTGCTCAATAACACCATTAAACTAGGATATTTAATATAAGCATCTAAAAGATATTGGTTGGATACATGAAATATACCAAGCTATGGTTTATTTTAACAGTGGCTAGATTCAAACATGAAACTGCAACAAATCATAACTTACAAATGGCAGTGGCTGGATTCCCAAAGTAAACAAAGCCCAACAATGCAAATTCATGATTCAGTGACTGTCAAAAACAGATCTCAGGGCCAGCTGACAAAGATGCCCAACTCATGCCCCTTAAGTAGAGCCCAACATATTACCATCCAATGCTGTATGCTCTTGGACAGTAGATGGGTGCCAAAATTGCAACCAATGCCATTCAAATTTACAGGTTTGCATGTTGATCAGAGCTTCTGTGTTTAGTTTTTATGGATCCTATTGTCATATTTCTATTCTTCCTCTGTTCTTGTGTTTAAACATTGTCACACATAAATACATTTATGTGTGGATGTTCGGATGCTACTTATTATCATATCTGGTGGTCATGTAAAAATATAAAAGCTTTTTGGATTAAGATATGGTGGAATATCCAAAGAATTTTTAGAAGAAGGGTAAAATTTACCCCACAATTATTTTTGTTAGGTATTGTTTCTGATTGTGATACTAAAGAGACTATATTGATGTTAAATTTAATTACAGCGGCAAGGTTGTTAGTAGGGCAATGTTGGAAGAAGGAATCCTTGCCTACCTTGCAAGAGTGGTTTTTTAAAGTTTCTTATTTGGCGGAAATGGCAAAGATTTCGGCTTTCTTAAAAGACCAATCGCAAGAGAAGTATTTTTTTGGTATGGAAAAAATGGATAGACTTTATACAACATAAGTTGGATATAAAAAATATTATTTAGCTTTTCAATAACTTATATTTAAAATTTAAGATATTTTATAGATTTTTCTTTCTTTTTTTATTTTCCTTTTTTCTTTTTTCTTTCTTCCTATTTTCTTGTATTTCCTTGTATTTTTGTCTTTATATATATATATTATTGTTAACTATTTCACAATTTGTTTAATTAATGTATTTTGACTTGTTAATGGTTTATATCTGTTTTAAGATTTTTTGAAAATTTTTAATTAAGCCTGTATTCAGCTCTGGGAAGGTTGGGGGAGGGTATGGGAGGGTTGGGAGGGCTCGGGGAAGGGAACTATATTGTTTTGTAAAATTTAAAAATGTTCAATTAAAAAAAAAAAACAGATCTCAGGGCCAGCTGACAAAGATGCCCAACTCATGCCCCTTAAGTAGAGCCCAACATATTACCATCCAATGCTGTATGCTCTTGGACAGTAGATGGGTGCCAAAATTGCAACCAATGCCATTCAAATTTACAGGTTTGCATGTTGATCAGAGCTTCTGTGTTTAGTTTTTGTGGATCCTATTATCATATTTCTATTCTTCCTCTGTTCTTGTGTTTAAACATTGTCACACATAAATACATTTCAGCCAAAGATTATTTTCTCTCTACTTATACACTAATTTAAGAAAAGCTTAGCCTGTTGAATGCATGTATCAGATTTCTGCTAAAGACAAAGCAGGAAAGCAATTGCCTCCGTAACTGGCTTTTCATCCACTAGTGGTGTCCTGGGTACAGAGTGCTTTCCTCAAGACAGTATGAGTGGCCCCTACTTCTGTCTTTTAGGCACTAAGTAAATTCTAGGCATTAAGTAAATTCCTGCTTTGTTTACCAAGAGAGATCTTCATTTACTACTATTTTCGTATTTTACACACTTGAATTTTATCTGTGCCTTTCTTAATGCATCCATTTTCTATGTACAGTATTTTTGCTTTGAGAAAAGCAGGCATTTGATGCACTGAAATTGAAACTAAAAAGCATTTGGCCCGGTGGGTTGCCGGTCGGGTTTTTGGCCGTCCAGCGACGAGGCGATTGTTGTTTGGAAGCTGCCGCTGAAAGAGGGACTTTGAGTCGCCCCATTGTGGGGCTCGTCATATGGAAACGCCAGGTATCTTGGATGGACTCCAGTCCCGGTGGTTCCCTGGCCACGCGAGGCGGGCCCCGCAGCATTTTGGTTGGGTATTTCCTATGACTGTGCTGTGTGGCTACGGTTTCTTTGCTAACTTGCGACCATTGGAACCTTTTCTCACACCTTATTTGTTGGGACCGGACAAGAATCTCACCGAGACCCAGGACAATCCCCCATCCAATCAGAGCACAGCCAAGCTCCTAACCAATCAGAACACACCTCCATCCAATCAGAACACAGCCAAGCTCTCATCCAATCAGTTCATACCCCCACTGGCAGTTAAAAGGAAGAAACAGCTACAATTACACATTGCTCCTAGAAGCACGAAGCTGAAAACACCAGCCTGAAAATGACGAATGAGACTTCGTTGAAACGTCGCCAAGACGGAGAAAACCCGAATAACCAAAGACCTACATACAAACACCCGCGAAAACCTCAGTATATATATATATGTTTTCTGAGGTTTTCGCGGGTGTTTGTATGTAGGTCTTTGGTTGTTTGGGTTTTCTCCCGCGTAAAATTGGAAGTGTCTTGGCGACATTTCGACGAACTCCCATTCGTCATCTTCAGGCTCGTGGACAGACTTCACCAGCCTGCAGTACAAAGGCTGTGAGAGAAGCCAGTCAAGACCCTGGCAGCCCTTCAGTGTCTTGGATGTGGAGGACGCCACAAGCGCTCGGACTGCCGGTTCCACTCCGCCATTTGTCAGGCATGTGGTAAGCAAGGCCACATTGCCATTTGGGTTGCCAGCAGGTGCACGGGTGTCAAGTGTGCCAACAGTCACGGCCTGAAATGCCTCAAGCCCCTGTACACAGGTGGGAGGAGACACAAACCCCTTGGTCAAGGATACATTTACATTATGCTGGGCCCTTTCAGGAGCAATTCTTCCTTATCCTGGTTGATAGCCTCTCTAAGTGGCTAGAAGTTGTCCCTGTCTCCTCCACTACTACTGCTAGGACCATCCAGGTGTTAAGAGGAATTTTCGCTACGCATGGACTTCCTGATGTCCTCGTATCTGACAATGGGCCTCAATTCACTTCTCTTGAGTTCCAGGCTTTCTTACAGGCCAACTTGATCAGGCATACAAAGTCAGCATCCTTCCACCCTTCCACCAATGGGCAAGCAGAAAGGATGGCACGCACAACAAAGGACGCACTCAAAAGACTCACGCATGGTAGCTGGCATCACAGGTTAGCTGATTTCCTTCTTGCACACT